TGGCCAGCAGATTAGGCTGCCTCTACCTCTACATCCTGGGTTCACAGGTAACATATCTGCTTTACCCTGAGGATAACTAAGACATTATCTATGGTCTCATGTAAGATGATAACAGTGATGTTTAACCATTTAAAGGTCTCTCTATTAAAGGTTTTTATGACCCTGGAACCCAATTAGCCTCTAAGTGCTAACCTATATCTACTGCACTCTATAGTTTGACCAGTTTTACATGAAATCTTTGATCTGATTATTAGTGAGCTTGTACATGTAAGGCCAATTTCTCATAGGTTTTTGTTTCCAGAAAACAATAAATAGACCCAGAGCCACTTCAGATAGAGCAACATTTGAAATATACGTCTTATGCATTCAAAATGTAAAAGATATATTCATATGAAGAATGTCAACTTACTTTTTTATTTAGTGGGGCAAAGTAAATAATCTCACTGCAAATATTTAATTCTATGTATTTGCCCTTGATTTAAGGAGGTAAGAAAATTTGCAATTGGGAGCAGGGGAGGAAGGAAACTGCTTTTTTAATTAGAGCCAGGGGAATAAATCCTTCCTTTTCTCCAACATTTATTTGTTGTTAAGCTCTAAATATTTTTAAATATCTTCATACATCTCACGGATAAAACTTCATCTTATTTAATACTCAGAAAATGACAAAATCTAAAATACTTTGTGTCTCTTCATATTCATGATAAAGAACACGTTAACAAATGGTTTACTAGCGCCACCCTGTGGTTGTTTCTTTTCACTGTTTTAGCCTTTTCCTGATGTAGAGTTAGTTAGAAAGTAGGTACACTCAGCACTTGTACACTCAGCACCCCATATTGACAGAGAAAAACACAAAATGTAAAATTTTTTGCAAATTTATTAAAAAAGAAAAACTGTGGCGAGGCACAGATCTGGCCAAGGTTACAAAATAATTTCTGCAGCATTCAACGTTCCTCAGAGCACAGTGGCCTCCATAATCCTTAAATATCAGAAGTTTGGGACGACCAGAAGTCTTCCTAGACCTGGCTGTCCAGACAAACTGAGCAATGTGGACCTGAATATTATGATGATGTGATATTTCAGGTTTTCTTTTTTTATATATTTGCTAAAATTTCTACATTTTTTTTTTTCCGTCAATATGGGGTGCTGAGGGTACAGTAATGAGAAATAAAATTAACTTAATCGATTTTAGCAAATTACTGCAATGAAACAAAGACTGAAAAATTTAAAGGGGTCTGAATACTTTCCGTACCCACTGTATAAGCATATTTAGTTTAAATCACTATTCAACAGGATTTTATATTCATTTTACATTAATCATAATATGCATTTCATTAAGGCTCAATTGACAGATGAAAGTACCCTTTTATAATAACACTAAAGTAGGCATAAAAACATTAGCATTATTTTTTCCTATTAGTCTGAAGTAATATTCTAAAGTTGAATCTGTGTTCTTATCAGCTGTAAACTGAAAATGATTAGAATGAACAGAATGTAGGCTTAAAATTTATTTAGCTAATAAGCTATTCTTATTAAGATGGCTTACATAAATGCTGACGAGAATCCATTTAATGGAAGGGGACGCGAGGCGGGTCGGAAGTTTGGGGTTACATGTGTACATATAAGTATGGAAGTGAGAGCAGTTCATTAATTTGCCAACAGTAAAGAACATAAAAAAAGGTTGATCAGAAAATGGGCATGTTTTTTTATTAAACTTCTTTTAAAAAAAACATGTTGTCTGGTTCCAATAATGACAACTTTTCAGCTCAAGTGACTGCAGAAGAAAATGTATTCTGATTAAAGTGCATCATCTTATGGGAAATCGCATCTCTATAGCAATAACAAAACTGTACTTTTGGACGTAATTAGCACAGAAAATTATGAAGTATCATTTTTAAGCAGTAGTAATTATCAAAACGAAACAAAATAGAAAACTGTTGCCTCCTTCCATTAACAACACCTGAATAGGATCATGGTTGAATGAGCAAAATGAAATACGCCCCCTGGTGGTGATAAACACAGGAAAGGACAAATGGCTCCTATACTCATCATTGCAGTTTCATTCAGCTTCTCCATCCACTGCAGCTTTAATCTGGGCTCAGCATTAAGCTGGATCTCCTTCATACTGCTCAATAATCCTAGCAATTTTTAAAAACATTTTATGTATGGAGCTTTTTCTTTATTGAACTTCAAGGTTACTTCAAGGCTGGACTATTGTAATTCTTTACTATCAGGAAGTCCACAAACTGTAGTTAAAAGCCTTCAGTTGATCCAAAATGCTGCAGCCAGAGTTCTGATGAAAATGAAAAAGAGAGATCATATCTCTCCTATCCTGGCTTCTCTTCATTGGCTTCCTGCTAAATCTAGAATAGAATTTAAAATCCTCCTTCTCACATATAAAGATAAACCATTTTATATTTAGTAAAATAATCAGTTTTAAATAAAAACATTTATAATCTATGAGAAATATATGATCACTTCCAATAAAAAAAGCTTAAAAGTATATAAAGGTCTAAGAAAGTATAGCATATTCTTACAGGATGTTTGAAACTGCCTCTGTCTAATGGTCTGTTGGACAATCTGCAAGGTTATCAGTTCTGCTACTGTGTCTCTTAATGTTGATCTAGACTAGAATTTGCCTGTTTTCTCTGGCTTAGGCTGCAGCCCCATCAGACTGGCTAAGATACTGTAAGCTTGTGTGGAAAATAAACCAATGAATAAATAAATGAATAAAAACTCTGCTCATATATGTAGATATGTTGCTTGATCTTTATTTATATCATTCTTTATCACAGACAGAGGGGATCTCTAAAGCCAAGAAACCATGCACCAAAAGAAAAGACACTTTGAAAGGTGGAGTTTAAGAAAAATCAGTTAAAATTTAGATGAATGTAAAGCATCAAAAATTCCTCAGAATAGGAGCTTCTATCAGAAACTCCAAAGGTTGGGAAAATTCCAGATGGCTTCTGTTGTTGGTAAGATTTAGGACTTGACCATTTCCAGAAATTCTAGAAAAAAATGAAACATAAAATTAACAAATAAAGACTTACCTTTAAATTTGCATTACATGTGATACAAGGCCATGTTTTTTTCTTTGAAATCTAGTTACCATATTTAAAGACTCATGTTGAATTTAATAATAATTTCTCTAACAGCTGTTAACTAATCCAGGTCAGTGACATAAAACAATAAACTATTGTCAAAATTTAACTAATTATGTCTAAACTTGTCTTACACACCTGATACCTTAATTTTGTTTGTAATAGTTGACATTTTGTTTGAAACACTTTCTTCACATGTAGATTCATAGTTATGAGAATTTGTATGTAAATTTCAATGAAACTTAAACTGCAAAGCTCAAGGGGTTGTAAAGAATAGTTAATAGGTTTAACAATATTCCCAAGAATAAAAAAAACTGAAAAGTGTTGGTCAAGTATGTATTCATACCCCATTTATTTGTAGAGCAACTTTTAGACACAACCATTAAAGTTATTAAAGTTATTATAGTTCTGCACAAAAATCCAAAAGCAAATATCAATAGCAAAAAAACATAATTGAAAAGCATGTTTAAAAAAGAAAGTTTTAATTGCTTCCTAAAGGATAAATTAGTAAAAGAAGTAGGTGAATTATTTGGCTTCTGGCTGTTCTGGACTCTTTGTTTGCATGCTAGTATTAAAACGAATCCTTAAATCTGAAAAAGGGTCATGTAACCAAAGGTGGATAAAGTTCCAAAAACTGTATTCAACAAAGAATAGCAGCACTGCATCATATTTTTAGTCACATAGAAGAAAAAAATAGCCAACAAATTACTCAAGTAAGAGTAAAAACGTAAATGGGAAAAAGGCCACTGAAATACTGATTAACTGATCCTAAGATCATCTGATTAAATGTTTTAAAAATGATGTAAATTTACAAAACATGTAGTTATCTGCAAATTTTTAAAAAATGAGCTAAAATAAATAACTTTCAGTAGTTAAACAATAATATCAAGTGGAGGAAACACAAGATATTTTGCTATAAAATCTCTGATTTCATTATAACATGTAACATGATTCAGTAAACTGTTTTCTGTATTTTCTTTGGCCCTCCAAATCATATGGCAGCATCATCAAATAAAAAACACATTAAAGCAAAGAAGCTGGAGAACAAAACAGACTTGCTTAGTTATTAAGTTTTTCTTTTAAACTAGCCTGTTCTTTATTGAGTGAAGTTACTCATGATGGCAGCCAGATATTTTACTCAAGTAAGAGTAGTGATACTTCATCATATTTTTACTTTATTAGTAAAAGTTTAAAGTATGATGCATAAAACTACTCCTTAGGGTACTTTTTTCTCAAAGTTACTCAAGTAATTGTAACTGCGTAAATGTAACTAGTTACTACCCACCCCTGCATGTGAGGTCATGTGAATTTGTTTGGTTAAATGTGTAACTAGAAGACTGATCACAGCATTTGTTTGGCTTGGAGGTTTTAAAGGGATGATTCCAATAATTTGACAAAATGAAACTAACATATGATGCATAATTTTTTTCCAGTTTAACTAAAGAGAATATTTGTTGCACAATAGAAATAAAAGAGATAATTAGGAACAGATAGAGATCTTACATGTGAGTCAAAGGCCTGAAATTGAATATTACACCAAAGTTTTTATAGCGAATGTTTTTGAGTTGGACAAAGAAAAAACTTAGAGCATGTTTTATTTTTGTATTTATGTTATAAGATCTAGGGTTATAGTGCCACTCTTACTGGTGTTTAAACACATTATTGCTGGAAACTTAAACAGAAATCTTAAGTAAACAAAATAAAATATTATAGACAGCTTATCCAGCTAATAAGGCATTAAAGATTTATAAAGTTGAATATCATCTGCAAGGGGGAGTGGCAGCCTAGTGGTTAGGGCATTGTGCTTGGAATCCAGAGGGTCTGAGTTCTAGACCCACTCCCACGGACTGCCACTCTGGCTCCCTGAGCAAGACTCTTAACTCCACACTGCTCACTGGGTGCCACACAATGGCAGCCCACTGCTCACCAAAGGAGATGGGTTAAAAGCAGAGAGTTCATTTTGTTGCTTTGTACTTGTGACAGTGTAATGACAATAAAAAAGCTAAAAAAAAAAAAGACATTCAAAGATCAGATGATGACAGTTCAATGGAATATGTAAAAAGCAATTCAACACAGGCTCAGAACCCATCCCTGTGGAACCCTCAGGTAACAGATAAATTATTAGAAGTGAACTAGGGAATCAATACTTGTACCTGAAAATCTCTTCAACATGTCCACATTTTTCACTTGTGTTGGATTTAAGCCTGGAAAAGTGTGTAGAACCCAACCACATCAAAACATCATCTCTAAAATGTCTTTTGTGATTCAAGGTCTTCACGTTACAATTAATCACTGTTGTTCTTTAACGTAACTCTGATGGCTTCACTAAACAGCAGATAATAAATTATACACAAATGGGTGCTATTCATTAATTTAGATAACATATATAGATACATATATTAGTTTTTTCAAGGTCCACTGTGGAAGGATTTCTCCAACTAAACCAACTCCTAACATAATAGGAAAACTGATACTGACCGTCTTTGTCAATTTTGCCATCTCTGTTATCGTCACCTGTGAAAAATTTCTCGATTTCTCCATCAGTTAGAGCCCGCGCTTTAGGGTCGAAACATTTTAAGAAGTCCCTGCAAACAAACACAACTTTTTAAAAAAAACACTGACTAAATCATCTGTAAAATGCAGTGTGGGCCATCTCTAAGCTTTCAACACATCAGATAAATGTCATAACAAAATATAATCAAAGCTCTTTATCTATAATTGATTAGGATACAGTGCAGCCTAATTATACAGGTGACTGTCAAACTGCATCTTTACTTTCAGTCTTTTAGCAAGATTACTGCTCTAAAAATGATACAGTTTAGTAAAAGCTGCCATTTCATCCTAGTTTATCAAGTATCACCCTAGAATATGTTGTTAAACAGTTTTGTAGTAGGACTCGGACTTTTTGAATTTTTATTTACCGGTATGTCAGAAATCAACTCTGGATTGTTTGAAGAGTTTATTTTTATTCAGAAGGTGAAAGGGGAAATTATATTGTTTTCTGTTTTTTAGGGTGAGTTTGCTCCTGTGTTTTGACTATTTGCATCATTTACTCTTTGTGACTTCCACATTTTGTTTGTGGTTGCTGCACTGTACATTTGCTTTAATGACTGTTGATTTTTGCTACTTTTTTTGTGATTGCAGTATTTTTGTTTGCAGCATTTTTCTGTTGCATGTAGGTTTTTTCTGTTTGCGAGTTTGCCCTTATGTTTTCACCTGTTAGCAACTCGTTTCTTTTTAGTTTGCAGCATTTTCCTTTTGCATTTTTTTTTGTTGCTAGAGTATTTTGGAGTTTCCATCACAAATTATTTTTGCAGTTGGTTTCATCGTATATAGTCGTTAGCACCTGTCAGCCACAGTACTCTTTACTGCATTACCAAATTCTCAATGTCAGGCTTGCCAGCTTATTTCATCATTGACAAAATAGAAGGTGTTGCTATTGAGTGTTTTTGCCTTAATGAATATTTACAACAGAGGCAAATCATCAGAAAGTGCAGAATACTGGGAGGAGGACATGCAAAAGTAACTGCTTATCTCACCCTGAAACAGATCATTCATGCTTTTTATGGTCTATATTTAGAAATTTAAAAAATCAGGTGCATATGTCTGTAAATTTGTCAGAGCTTATTTTAAGAGGTATGAGGCATTGCAACAATGACAAACAAAGCAGAGAGATCAATGCTTATTTAAACATTTATGGACTCTCAGAAACAGCAATTGTAGAGACATATTATCTTTGCAGCAATGCCATCTGGAGCTGCATGATTATAAATCTAGCTTATCATTGCTTATGACACAAAACCATTATGTCTGGATGGTCTGGAGAAGAGCTCCTTTACAGCCCAGAAAATGTGACACAGATAATAGTTTTCTGCTGCAACTAACACTGCATATGGGGGAAACTACACAGGACAAATAAATACAGCTGGACTGAACAAGCTACTGTTGTTAATCCATACTTGCCGCCGTCACATTCAAGTGTAAAGGCAATCACTACAGTCACTAGTCTTTCAGCTCTGTGCTGCTGTAGTGCAAAGATGTCTGCCTCCATGCTTTTGAGATCCTTTGTAATTATAAAAAACTATTTCTAAGGCAACACAGGCATAAAGATTAAAAAGTTCGATTCGAAGATGATAATAAGTGACATACTAATATATAATATTTTACATTTGCATCAGAAAATCACTGAAATTCTTACACACTGGAGCTTTAAATTATACTGCAACTTGAGAATCGTAAGTGTTAAGCATCTTGGTTGAGTGGCATTTTGAGGAGCTGAGATATACTTTTTACGTACCTGAGCTCAGATTTGTCGAGGGCGCCACTTCCATCTTCGTCAAGGCTCCTGAACACCTCTAGCACCTCCTTGTCGGTCTTTGTGGACAAGCCACATATCTTGAAGAACTTCTTATGCTCGAGCGAGTCTACAGCTTCTCAGACACACACATACATATACACATTATAAACACACACATAAAGCAAGGTAGAGACAGGACAATGACCCTGAGAGTCAACTAGTTGGGGGCTGTTGGTGAGATTATACCAGCGTGGCTGTTTTTCTTTTAGTTTAATAGCTGACCGCCACATGCACTGTGCAAAACAAGCAAACTAAACCTTTTTAGATTCTAAAATTAAGCCAATAGCTGCTTTAGCAGGGAGGATGGAGTGGAAAATAATGCTGCTGTTATAACAGGGTTACAGTATACGTTGATATGATGGAAATGTTCTGCTGGACACTACATTAAATTTATTACAGAATAAATCTGATCTAGTAGTGGAAACTTCTTTGAATTAGTAAATTATTGATCAGCATTTAAGTCTAAATTCAACAAATGGTTATTTTTCCAGAGTAAGATACCTTTAAAGGTGTCGACTGCCTTCTTAATGTCCTCATGTTTAAGAATCTTGGTGAGTGACATGATGATCCTGTAATGTAAAAAAAACAGATTGTACTTTATGAACAGGACAACACAATATCTGGCTCTGAAAGACACAGGAATATCATCATTATTATTATTTTATTTTTCTGACTCGTGCTTTAGGTGTTTCCTTTAGATCCATTTTGGTGTCACAATGGATTAACCTCTCAGTTGTTTCTAGGGTTGTCACGATACTAAACTTTTCAACTCGATACCGATACTAAGGAAAATATTCGATACTCGATACCATTTTCGATACCACAAGGATAAAATTTCAACAGAAATATTTTGATTAATAATTAAAATACAATAAATAAATACAATAAACAATAAGAACAATATTTTGAGGTTGTTTGCTGTGCACAGTATTTAGCAAGCTTGATAAAAAACTTACAAAATTAAAATTAAGTTTTCCTTACTTGGCTGTGCTTTACACACATAACAATGACACTAGCCAAACCGGTTAAGAAACAAAAGTAATTCTCAGCAGCTGCACCTGTTACAAAAAAAGTCTGAAACTGAAAAGTGCACAGAATTATTCAATCACACAGTGTTCAGAAAGTGCATTTTCCTCTATTCTGCACTTTAGATGAATGACTGTTTAGGTGCGACTGGTACTCGATACTTTTGAAAATGAGTATTGTATCCGGATACAACATTTCAGTATCGATACTTTTTTGAGTATCGATACTTTTGACAACCCTAGTTGTTTCTAGGTTAATATCATGATCCCATAAAAATTCTTGTGACGTCTGTTTAAAAAATGAACATAAATACAAATATATGTATTTTAAATAGAAATAGCAGATATTTTATATTCATAGTTAATCTGCTTTAACTCTGTTTGATTTCATGGTAACTTTTGTGTTTTTGAATCAGATTCTCTGCAGCAGCTTATTCAAAGGTGTCTGTACAGGATATTCATGGTTTTGATGGTGCAAATAAGTTACAAGTATCACACAAAAAAAACAACAAAAAACTGTGTGAGTAAGCGATGCACCTTAAAATGAGGAAATTGATTTCTCTGAGTTCTAACCCTGCAATGAATTTCCTTAGATTTCCTGAATCCATCCTGCTTATAAAGACGATATATTGTAATAAATGTTCACTGAGGATACAGAGTTTTCCTAGTATTTTAAACCTGAATGCAAAAAATAAATGTCATTTTTAGAGTGCCCTACACTGAATCAGCAGCTTAATGACAACAAAACAGACTATGAAGCATTATTACAGTTCTAACATTGTTTATGTAGTCATAATCACCCAACTTTTCTTGTCTCTCATTTATTATAATTTAAGTTTTTGTGTTTTTCTCTGTAGAATGAAATATAAATTTAAATAACGTTTTAACATGCGCTGAAGTTCAGCTAAAGGTCATAATATCTGAAGCATTTTTGTACCTAACCGGTTTCCTGTACCGAGGTTTGCAGCTGTGGGACTGGCAGCTCTTTTAAGTCCAGCTCCAACACAGCAGCAACAGCAGCATTAAAAGTCTGATAGCTGCTGCCAGGTTTCTCATATATTCTACTCACAATGTTCAGATGGATGCCTGAGTTTCTGATGCGTCTGTAGATCAAATTCTCCTGCAAGCACAACAGACTGCTTCTCGTATTGCCTGTTGTCTCACCTGTCTTATTAACCGTTTATATACACTAAGCAGCCCTGCCTCTACCCTTCCACTCCTTAAATTCTACTGGATGCTTTGCTTATTTCTCCTCCCTTTCTGCCTATCCAGCCTCCATCTCTGCAGCTCAATCTGAAAACCCCAGATTATCTCCTAAAGGTGGAGAATTGAGGCCAATATATTGTAAAGGTTTAAAACTACCTGTGTTAATCTTACTTGTTGGGTTATATTGATGTTTTTTAAATAAGAGTAAAACTGAATTACATAGTATTATCTGTTACGGTAAATATTTGTTTATTTAGCAACCATTGTGACAGACGTGACATGTTTTTACAACATTACAACATTGATTTAGAATTGTAGGGATTTCAACTATTCTTGAAAAAACTATTAAACGTCTAAATACAAATGCCTTCAAATTCAGCTTTTTGCTCCCAGCTCACCCGTAGTGATAGTTGAAGTTATCACAGGCTGTTTAAAAAGTGGAAATCTATGGAGAAATATGAAATGTGTTTTATAGGGTTGTTCAAATGGAAAATTGTGGGTAAAGTCAGACAGAAATGGTTCAGAAAAAAATGTAAACGTTCTTTCATGATCAAATCCCCAGAACTAAATCCCATAGAAAACCTGTTATAAGCTTCTTATAGGAAATGATTCAGGACTCTGGACAATCTAAAGAGGAAAGACAAATCTTTAACCATGTGACCAGCTGTCCCACCAGCAGAGGGCAAAGTTTACAGGTATGGGTGACGAATTAACCATCTCATTCAGACTGAAAGGTTTTATTTATTTATTTTGAATTTTTACAGCACTAATGGCTCTTTCTTTGACAGTAGGCTGACAGGAAAAGGGGCATGAGAGAGGGGGGAGACATGACCACGGGTCAGATTCAAACCCGGGTCAGCCACATCAAGGTCTAAGGCCTCTGTTCATGGGTCGTGCACGATAACCACTGCGCCACCTGCATGCCCAAAGGATTTTATTTATGAATACTTTGCACATCCAAACCAGGCTGAGGTCTACAGACACTCTAACCTTTGCTTTTCCACATCTCTCCTGGCCAGCAGATTAGGCTGCCTCTACCTCTACATCCTGGGTTCACAGGTAACATATCTGCTTTACCCTGAGGATAACTAAGACATTATCTATGGTGTCATGTCAGATGATAACAGTTATGTTTAACCATTTAAAGGTCTCTCTATTAAAGGTTTTTAAGACCCTGGAACTCAATTACCCAATTAGCCTCTAAGTGCTAACCTATCTCTACTCTATAGTTTGACCAGTTTTACATTAAATCTTTCTTCTGATCCTTAGTGAGCATCTACATGGAAGGCCCTCTCAATTTATCATAGGTTGTTGCAATAGGGCTCTAATAAAGTATGGGAATAATAGATAAAGCAATCAATGCTCTGATACTACAGTAGGTAAAGTAGGTTCTGCATATACATAAATGGTTTAAAGAAAAAAAAACTGACACAGAGCTTCAGATAGAGCAACATTTGAAATATACATCTTGTGCATTCACAATTTAAAAGATAAATTCATATGAAGAATGACAATGTATTTTCTTATTTAGGGGGGGAAATTAAGTATGAAGCCTGATCTCACTGCAAATATTAACTTCTGTGTATTTGCCCCTGATTTAAGGAGCAACTAAGACCATTTGTCATTGGAATTAAATTGATTTAAATTGCAAATAAGAAAAAAGATCTTGGGGGCATTTTTAGGGCAAACAATATCTTATTTTAATTGCATAATAACTAATTATCTAATTTTTAAGGAAAAAATACTAATTCCATTGTCAAATTCTCTCATTCACTTGCAGAAATAGGTTAATTTCAAGGATTTTAAAACTTATTTTCAGATCAGTTTTTGAAGTTTATGCAGTTGCCTAAGATGTTTTGAACATAAGAGGTTTCCATCTTTTCATACTGATAATTTTGTCACCTCCCAGTGAAACCATGTTGAACCATCTGACACTTGTGGCGACAGTCAGCAGTAATGGTCACAGCAGGGGAGGAAGGAAACTGCTTTTTTTATTAGAGCCAGGGGAATAAATCCTTCCTTTTCTCCAACATTTATTTGTTGTTAAGCTCTAAATATATTTAAATATCTTCATACATCTCATGGATAATACTTCATGGTTCCAGATACTCAGAAAATAACTAAATTTAAAATATTTAGTGCCTCCTTCTTATATTGTTGAAAAAGAACAAAACTAAGAACAAGTCGGTTCTTAGTTTTGTGGTTGTGGTTTACTAGCACCGCCTTGTGGTTGTTTCTATTAACTGTTTTATATTTTTCCTGATGTAGAATTAGTTAGACATTAGGCTATGTGGTGACAGTTCATTCCCTGTACTAAGGGACATGCAATTAAACTATCTATAGCAGATGTGGAGAATTCCTCACTTTATTCACCCTCTATAGCTGAAAGAGATTATCTATCAGTCTCTAAAGAGTTCTTGGTTCACCAAGACATTTACAATGTTTTCAGTTCAATTCAACCTGGACAGATTTACAGAGAGACAAGTTGCAACTAGAAGAGTTTATTGACATGGATAATATATAAGTTCTTTGGCGCTCAGACACCGACTGAAGACTACGTGTTCAGAACTGATGGATGATCAGATCGATGGATTTATGAGAGAGAGAATTAGTCTTCCCCCAGGAGTTTGGACACTCATGGTGGAATAAGCCAAGGATGAAAGGGAGGAGAAGGAGTGGAGGTGGGTAGACAGGTGGCTTGTGAGCAGAAGGAACATAAGGAATGACGCTTGAAGAAGGAGACCTTGTAAGTCAATTTGCTCCTGGAAGGGTGCGGTCCCGATGATGATTGGCTGAGGTTTGGAGGTAGGACTCCAGCAGGTGATCCAGGTGAGGCTGTTCAAGGTCTGCCAGATTGAATTTATGCTTAAGATTAGTTTTTGTATTTATTACATCATTAAAATCGATATAAAACCTAATCCTAATGGTCCTAATGGCTTTTTATACCCCTTCAGGTCTCTTTCTGTTAGCAAGCATTTTTTGAAGCACTGCTTTTGATATAAAAAGCCAAAATGAGATCCTTTATTTGAGTTAATTCAGATTAAACAATCTTACATATTAAAGACTGACATGCAATGGTAATGTTTGAAATAACAGCAGTAAAAACTGTCCTAATAATAATAAAAACACATTATATTTTATGCAAAATATACATATTTAGTTTAAATCATTAGTTGACTGGATTTTGAATTAATTTCAGTTAATCAGAATATGCATTTCAATGAGGCTCAATAGTCAGGATGAAATTACCCTTTTTAAATAACACTAAAGTAGGTATAAAAACATAAGCCCATCTTACCTCATGTTCCCATATTATTATATTTTTCCTATTGGTCTGAAGTGATATTCTAAGCTTAAATCTGTGTTCCTATCAGTTGTAAACTGAAAGGATTAGAATGAACAGAATATAGGATTAAAAATTTGATTTAGCTAATAAGCTATACTTATTGAGATGAGTTATATAAATGTTTTACTCTCAATTTCGTTTTAATTAGTTCAGTATGACTTTATTTAGCAAACATCAGCTGCTTTGTAAAAAAATAACTTTAAACATTCCAAAGAAATCATGAAATAGATAAATAGTATACACCCCAAAATACTTTGTGTGTGGTAAATCAACAACGTTGCCTCTATGAAATGGACTGAAATTAAAAACCTAAAGAGAGTGAAAAAGTCATAAGGGACTGGAAACCAGCTAACTTTTAAGATTTCTGTTAGAACTAGATTCAACTTTCATTGATTAAATAGTTTTTTATATGCCAGATACTGTAGTGATATTTTTATTTATTTATTACACACTACTTCTTTTGGAAGCTGTAATATTTTGGCAAAGTGTCTGGCATTAGCATTCTTAGAAACAATTATGAGTACAATTTTTGTATGCCTATTAGATTTCCTTAACTCTTCTTATATTGGCTGGTTGAAATCCCAGAGGCTTTTTGTCACATATAACATCAGTGGTTAACTGCGACCTGGTTAAATGTATGACTTTTCAAAGCCTTATTTAAAGTTTTGGCAACATTTTAGCTTTCACTAGTTAGATAACTGATTTGAGCAATGCTCAATTATTATTATTTGTAAGCAGATTATGTTTTGCTTATTGGTCCAAAGCCTGCTTTCTTTTATAAGGTTCAAAATATTTTCCAGCATGAATCGTTCCTAGGCAGGCCTTGTTTTCCAGCATGAAGATCCAGGGTTTAAGGTCCTGCCTGTGTTCTTTCTGCAGGAAGTTTGCATTTATCCTTGTGCATGGCCCAGAATAAATTGCTGTATGGTATAAGTGTGTTTGTGCATTGTCTTCTGTTCTGTTTCTCTCAAACAAACAGCAAACAGTCCAGGCCGCACTTCACCTTCCACTAAATTAAATGGCTGGTAATAGGCATCAGACCACCTGCAACTTTGCAGGTATAGTGAATGGATGGGTGGAGTGTGGTGCAGCCTGTCTTTCACTACCCTCAGCCATTAATTTCCTTCAACTTATCATTAGAAAATCAAATTCAGACCATTGTTATTGAAAAAGAACCTTTACTGTTGTCTCATTGTCCGTCCGTTTTCCATAAAAGTGCATCATTGTTGATTTCACAGCATGCAAAACTCACACAGTAAAATGACAACAGAAGTAAGAGAGAGAGAGAGAGAAAGACACAAGTCAGCCACGCCATACATTTAGTCAGGTACATTCATTGGGGATATCACTAGGGTGAGCACGGCCTGAGAGAGAGAGAGAGAGAGAGAGTTGTCCGAATGGTCAGGGTCAAAAGTCAAACGTATAAAAGTGTTACAGAGTCTACAAGGGATGAGTGAATGGGAAGAGGAGAAGAAGAGAAGAAAAGGATGTCTTTGGCTCAAGTTGTTCCTTTAGAGTTGTGAAGTCAGGTGTTGGACAGTTTACCCCTTGATCATGGCAGCAAACTCTGCATGGAGGAGAAAAAAATCCTGATTATTTTACATTCTTTACAAATCAATTGTCATAATTAGATCTAAAGAAAAAAAAAGTAAATACCATCAACTCCGATCTTGCCGTCGCCATCAGAGTCACCAGCCTTCAGGAAGGTCTTGGTCTCTGCATCAGTCAGAGCCCTGGCACCGGCAGAAAAGTTCTGCAGGAACAGCCTGCAAAGGAAGATTGGGGAAAAAGAAATCAGTGATATAACAACCCTTTGTTTTATTGTGTGTCTGAAAAAATACCATAGCTCATTTACTTAAATTGTTTTTACAAAAAACGTTTAATTTCAAACCCGGGTTGAAGAACCAGCTCATTATAAATTCAACCCAATTAAAATAAAAAATACCTAAATAATCCCAAAGGGAGATGAAATGTTGCTATTGCTAGAGTTGGTCCCTAACTTGGGCTTTCTTTTTCAATTTACTGCTTGAAAATTAAATATTTCTATGATTGAAAATTATATTGGAAGCTTTTTCCTTAGAACAAGCCAAGAATGTGTGTGAAATGAATGGCACATTGGTTTTTTTGGATGTTTTCAGGCTGCTGTGTCATTTTGAATTTACTCTTATTAAAAAAGTTACATCAAAAACCTTCAATAGGCAAAGTTTAAAGGAGATTATTTACTTCAGCTCCTCCTCCTCAATGAAGCCGCTCTTGTCCTGGTCAATGATGGCGAAGGCCTTCTTGATGTCATCAGCAGACTTGGCAGCCAGGCCGACCTTGGCAAAGAATTCCTTATGTTTGAAGGAGTCAGCGGCTGTTGGGAGATGGAGAGGCAGAGCATGTTAGGGAGTAAGGAAATATTGAATACAGACTGCTTTAAGGTTTGCAAGCTCACTGACTTTTGTTTTTAAAGGACAGGTCACTACTTTTAGCATTTTAAAAGCCTGCAGCCTTTTATTTCGATCCAAAATGATTTACATTATAATCTCTTGCCTTGAAAACCTGATCTACAAACATGTATAGCTTCCTACATCTACAGTTTGGGAAGGTTAAATAATGTACACGTGGTGACAGTTTTATTGCTTGGTTTACCTTTGCAAGCTGCAATGGCTGCAGTAATGTCAGCATCACTCAGAAATCCGGCGAATGCCATTTTTAACTGAGAAAGAAGAGCAGAGGGAACATCAGTCCAGGGAATCAGCTTTGGGAACATCAAAGAGATAGAAACAAGTTGTTTCTGAATCAATGAAATCACTTTTTAGTTTACAACATTTAGATGCATAGATCTACAGTTATCCTTCCCCATTTAAGGTATATCTTTCAGTCCAACTAATTTAGTAATCCAACGAAAAAAAATGATTAGTTGAGGTTGTCCATGTTTTTCCAAAACCAAACCCTCCAAGAGAAAAAGATCAAATCTCCTTGACAACGTTGTGTTTGGTTTCTTTTTCAGTCCAAAGAAAGACGCCTGAGGTTCAACAAGCAGAGATTTGTCGCCCTTTGTTTGATCTATATCCTACTTCATAAAAAATCAAAAAGAAACCTTTGTGTCAGAGAAAGCATCTGACTACAAGTCTGCAGCCCTCCAGAGAAACTCACCTCAAGGTTATCTTTAAGACTAGAGTGGATTCGCTCAGATGAATCAGCCGACTGCAGTGAACCCCCGGACAGCTTCTGCTGCCTTATATATGTTCACTCAGCCGAAATATGATGCATAGGCTATGTAATAGACACTGTGTGCAAAGAAGTCGGGTTGAAAAAAATGTGTCAAGTAGACAGAGCTGTTCTATTTATAAACACATAAATGAAGATGCTTAAATGGTAGGCCAAGTGTGGGCCTATGTGAAACTGCTTGATATTGCATAAGGCTAATAATATACGCTGCTGATTTGGGTAAAACACACTCTGCAAACAGGCTGCTGGTCTCTGCAGTGCCACACAGAGTAAGGAGGGTGCTCAGCTTTAATGTTGTCATATACAGGTATTTCAAATAATCAGACAGATCCATCAGATATTTTTGTTAGACTGATCCCAGCAGTTTATCTGCGCCTGATTTCTTTTGCCTTTCAGGATGGATTTTGCATAATTCAGCCATGAATACTTTGACAGGTAGGGTTTTACAAGAGCACTTCCTGTTTTAAGGCCTAGTGACTTTATATTAGTTTCAGCTGATTTTTTTTTTGATGGCGGCTAATTAGGTTCATTATTATTATATCTCTATATTTAGATGAACAAACTTGCTAATAAAACAACATATGAGATAAAATGGGGACAAAGTAAATACATGGTACAAACATTAAACTGGAGTTTTAGTTAAGATATTAGTAATCACTGTTCTGATAGTTTAATGTCTAGAGATGTTTGTGTGACAGGCTACTATAACCTTAAACATTATGCAAAAAGAACAACAATGTCACACAAATGTTCAAGGACTCTTTATTGGTGATTATATTATTTAAAAAAAGTTTTCGGTAGTTTGAGGAAGTAAAGAGTCACAAGCAAATTTTGGCAAACAGGCCTGAAGTTAAGGAAATCGGTACACTGAGTTAGAACAGAATGGAATAGAATAGAAATCACATTAATTATCCTCCCATTTGGAAATTCATGTGTCCCAGCAGCAAGAAGAATGAAGATTGTGCAGTTATATTTTTTCCAAATGCCATGAGGCTTCCATGACCGTGCTCTACTTCTGGAATGGTGTGTGTGCATGTAGTATGTAGGCCATAAAGTTCTGTTCTTGTCTTATCTGTTGAAAGCCTTTGTTTACTGTGTCTCCTTCATGCTTTGTGGTAAATTTTAAATTCAACGTTTTCTAGCTTTGATCTATGTTTTTTATTTATTTTCTTATTTTACAGATAATTTCTTCTTTCTACTACTTTATTAAGGCCAGATTTGTAAGGTGCCAAACGAATACCTCCCTTACCCATCATAGTAACCATACTCATAAAAGGGTGTTCAGTTAAAGTCAGCACTCTTTTGTGGTCCTTCAGACTATTACTCCATTAAAATATTTTCTTTATTGTGCCCAAACAGTTTAGATTTAATTTCTACATTTACCTAAAATCTCCAAACTTCCCCGTAAATTACATGGCATTTAGAATCTGGCATTTCCAATCTTGCCACAAACCTCATTAGGTTTTATATTTAATTTCAGACACTACAAATGGATAAGAGGCACAGAGAAATTCCCTGGGTGGGTTTGATAACGCTCTCTTCAGTGCTACCAATGTCTGGTTATCTTAACTAGCTAGACTTTCAGCAGGACTCCACCACTATAAAGGCATAATTAAACTGCAAACATAACTTTGATGAACTGATACACAGAGGGGGTTTTAAAGTGCACATTCTTGCTTAAAATTATTGTAAAATGACTTTTTGTGTTAGCACAACTAATGGTTAAGGGCCAACTGACTGACCGATCCTTATCCAGGGGCGCTGCCAGGAATTTGGGGCCCCATGAAAGACATTAATATCCCCTCTAAAAAGACAGTGCTGCTGCTGGTGGATCATCTGTTTGCATTTAACAAAGACGGGACAAAGACAGTTAATATAAATTTGCTAAATATTTACTAGCACTCAAGTGATGTTCAATCTCTGAACTGCCTGGTCTGGTTGTGTAAATGTAAATTCTCATCACTGTGAGCTTTCTGGTTTAATTGCATGGCATCTCTGTTAGTTACACACACACAATAGGCTCGTTATAAATTTTAAATAATCTTGGTTTAATACTTGAAAAACAAAAGATGACACAAAATAAAACAGAAAACATAAACAAAGTATTGCAAAAGCAAACAAAGAAGTCTTTAATTATTTTGGCAACTATAGGATAAATAGGTTAGGAACACACCGTGTGCAAAAGCCAGGGGGGGATTATCAGGACTACTTCAAAATAACAGCATCTCATCGCAATCATTTACTGAAGGCACTGTAGTGCACTATGCCAGTTCTATATTTGAACCTCCTCTACTTATTCATTGCCATGAGCTGTCAAGTTGGAACTGAACCTAAACACAGACAGAAGCCACATGGTTAGTTGAAAGATTTGATGCTTAATGAAATTAAAAACCCCAGTGGGAACAGTTATAGAAAAAGGACATAGATTAGACAAGTAGCAACAGAATCCAGAAAATAGCAATCTGCAAATAACAATTTTATTCACATAAAAGTAAGAAGGAAAGGCATGAAGAGCAATTAGGTGAGAACAAGAAACAACTGGGGATAATTAAGGTAGTAAGCTGAGGGAGAGTGAAAAATGAGCAGGAGTAGATAAAAGAAAATAATCCAATCCAAACACCCAAGGATTATGGAATTCAGAGCAGTTCTCGTAATCAAGATAAAAAGAACTGTGATGCTGTATTATGCATCTTTAAAAGCTAATATTATCCATCTAATCATTGTGGCCATTATCAACCTCATTATATTCAGACATACCAGTGGAGAACTTAATGATAGCCAGAAAGCCACAGTCTGTACCAAAACAATGCGATTAAAATAAGCAAGAGCAGGGCAAGTAGCTGTGAAGGCAATAATAATTACATTATGAATGTCATGACAAGGGACCAGTGACTGAATGATCCAATATGCTGTTTTAAGCCTAAATTATTTGAATTACATTTCAGCTGATGATTTAGAAAATCCTTTATCTGTTTCACCTGTAGTAAAAAACAAATCACGAGTATTTCCAGATCCATTCTTTCCCTATGTAAATTCTAATAAATTCCATAGATTTATTTCCAGACTGTGAGCTGTGTGAATCTAATCTATGGCCTTTAACATTTGCTCTGGTTAAATGAGGTCTCTCACCTCAAACGACTCGGCCAAAGATACTGTAACTATTCCTGCCCGTCTTCAGTATCGTGGTTGGATTACAAATGTCTAACAGCAGGAATACAACCCATCAGGCAAGATCAAATGTAATACAGTGCAGGAAATAAAAAAGTGATTGAGCAGTTCATTAAATAAAACTGTTTTTATTTTACATGACATTACCAGTGTTCTGGCAGTGATATTAAATATATTCAATCCCCTTTTTCTTCAGTTACACTGCAGCAGAAATAGGTGTGGCCCACATTCACTGTCCCCCTCCTTGAAAGATTATCTGTGAATAAATGTGACTCCCGGACTAAAGTCCGGTTAATTTGCTTGCTCAGAAACTTTACACTTCTCCCAGACCTGCTCTGAGCCACTGCAAAAACCCAGCCTCCTCTTCATACCAGGAAACTGCAGAAGTCCTGCCAGAGGCCCTGCTGGATCTGGCTGCATTCTTCGGTTCACACCAATATATTTGTCTTGTTTCAAAGTGAGGTTTACCTATCAAAAGTGTTAACTGCATTAAATCTGATCATTTTATTTAGCCTAAAAAAATTGAATGATTTTATTGTCCGGTGTTCATATTGAAAATCCAACTGCAAAAAAAAAAACAAAAAAAAACAAAAAAAAAAACAAATTCATCAGGAAAATGTAACTGTCAATTCACTTTGAAATTACTTCCATTATGTATGGAAATATTTTATAGGAACCTTCTGGTGGCTAAATTCCAGTTGATTATCTTACCAACCTAAAGTGGGAGTTATTGTATGGTGCCCCAGACATCTCAGGGGTTATACAAAAGCCACAACCCAAATACACCATCCTGGAGAGAAACATCAGCTGTGCTGTTGCCATCAACACCTTTGTTTTCTGTGACTAACTTATTGTGCTCTCTTCATCCCCTTACATGGGAGCTGGCTCGGAGCTCATCTGCCTGGCTGTGTGTTTCCTGGATAGCCCGCCTGTGGAGCTGGTTGACAGTTATGTTGTTGTGTTGTGTTTTTTTCTTTTTTCCTCACTTCCTCCCTTTGCAGGTTGTGGCAGGTAGGTCTGAACCCCAGCTGTGCCTCCTCAGAGGGTTATTAGTCAGAATTGAGCAGGTGATGGTTAAATCACATTTTGTGGTAATCAGGTCCAACGGGTGCTCATTGGGCTTATGCTGCGTTCACACCGGACGCAGCAAGAGCAGCAAAATCGCGTTTGCTGCTTCATTTTTACTGCTTGTACCAGTTTAGTTCTGACACGCGACTGAAGCAGCTTTGCTGCTCTGGCTGCGCGGTGCAAAAGTGTGTCTGACGCGCGTTGGGCAGAGCTTCACTATCCTTTCTCTGCCTTGCAGCTATATTAGCTGTGATCAGTGGGAATAAAGTAGTTTTAATATGTTTTTAAGTGAGAAAATCCACCTGAAAGCTTAATCAGTGCAGTCAGTTCATCTAGACTCCTCGCGGTTCACCGCAGCGGCTGGTAGGTGTTTTTCATCTAAATAATCTAAACTGCTGGCACCAGGATAATAAAAGTGAACATATTCTGCAGGCAGATTTCTGCATTTTAAGTTAATTTATGCGTCTAACACTTCCACGCGAACCTGTCTCCTATCCCCAGTCTTCAATAAACGTTTTTGAACCTTCTTTTGTTCTGTAATTGCTTGCTTGCCTTATCAGCACTAATCATCACAAGACAACATGCATCATCTCAAACAAAGCATGCTTCATTGTTGTCAGGCATGTATACATGTGCATAGGAGCTATACATAGTACCAAATACCATTTATAATTTCAGAAAATTTGATTGGTATACGGCATATATTTTCTCAGTTTTGGCTATTTCTATGACCTCAGATTAAGTTCCATCTTTTTGTTGCTAGGGCCTGTTTCCCAGTGAC